AATATTTTCGTATATTTATAAGTAATATATTTGTATTACTGTTGAATACAATTTATTTTCTAATATTTGATATATTATTTAGACGTTGCCAGTACTTAGTCACATAATTTTCATTTATGTGTAAATATGTTATAAAATATATTGAAAGATTATGTACTTTTGTCACAAATTAAAAAATATTTAAATCTGAAAGCCAATTTATGATGCTCTACAATTGTATCAAGATATTCCTACAGAAATTAAAGAAATATTTTTATTTATTTGCATTCAGTGAAGTTTTTATTCTTCATAACTCTAAGACATGAAATGATATATTTTTTTTAATTTTAGATTTTAAATAGATATTTCTGAGCCTTTCTTATAAGTTTGGATTTTAAAATGTCAGTAGATTTCTTTGTGAATTCAGACCCATTCATTATACATTCACTCGTGTCATTTAATGACAGAGATATTTTCTGAGAAATGCATCATTAGGCAATTTTGTCATTGTGTGAAAATCATAGAGGGCACTTATATAAACTTGGATGGTATAGCCTACTACACACCAAGGCTTCGTTATAATCTTATGGGACCACCATCATATATGTGGTCTATTGTTCATGGAAACGTCTTCATGTGCTGCATGACTATATTTAATATAATGTTTAAATTGTCCTAAGTTTTTCCAAATAATTTAAAAATACTGTACTGAAAGTGATATTTTGTTTGTTTCAATGTTGAAACAAGTCACGTACTATTTCTCTTGCAGCTGCTGTCAAAGCCTTTAAAGATGCAAGACAAAATGATTCTAAAGTTAAATCATCAGAGAAGGCTTCAGAAGAAAATCATTCCAAGGACACTTCATATTCAAATGATGATCCCATTAAATTACATCATGAAGGAAGTATTATCAATAAGCAAAAAGACAAAGAAGCCAAAATATTGTCAAAGAAACCAATAAGTAATTCAAAAGAAAAAATAGCAAAGCTGGAACATGGACCCAAAGCAGTAAATATTCCAAATTCTCTATCAAAGCCTTCTGAAAAGAATTCTGTAGTTCTCTCTGAACCCCAGAAGACACCTGCTGATCCAAAAATGAAAACATTACGTCAAACCAAAAAAGAGAAAGAGTCTGATAGCTCACTTGATAGTAATAGTGATGGAGAAGAATTACACGAAGAAGAGAAGGAGTATTTTGATGATAGCACAGAAGAAAGGTTTTATAAACAGTCTTCCATGTCTGAAGATAGTGATAGTGGTGATGATTTCTTCATTGGAAAAGTCAGACGGACACGAAAGAAGGAAAATAGTTACCATTCCTCAGTTTTAGAACAAAAATCCTCCCAAAAAATGTTTCCTGAAGAAGGTATACTTGAAACGCATCAGGGCATAAGAAATGACAAGAACAAGTCAAGTACAGAAGCAAGGAAGTTTGAATCAGTGTTTTTCCATTCTTTATCTGGATCTAAAAGCTCTAGAAGGTAAGAGTATTTTTTCTATTCTAGAATAATTTTTTTTTTTTTTGTTAAGGATATGCAATATTTACACATTCTAATGAGAGAAGAGACTATCTCCCATACAAAATTCTAGTTTATACAGAATACATCTTGTGTTTAGACTCAGACCTCTCCAGCCTTATATTGGGGTAATATATGCAGACACACATATGGCAATGACACAGTTATCCAGCTTTATGAGAAACAAGATGTTGTAGCCAAATAATTTGTCTACCTAATTTGTTTGTTCCTTCCATTATTAAACTTTTGAAATTTTGAGTTCGTTTTTGATGAAAAACTTTTGAAAATATCTCACATATTTCACTCTTTAAACAGAACTTTCTGAAAAGAATATGTTTTTTTTTTCTTGTTAACCCAGAACCATAATTGGAAATATCAGTCATTTTATTATGTATTCCTTTTTTAGCATATACAGCTGCTGGCCTTACCACTGCATTTCTCCACACTGCTTTATATTTGGTGGTGCTGCTGTCTATCCCTAATGATAACTCCACTTTTCACAGCTGTTCTGTTATAAATTAATAAGTTTATTTTCATTTTTATTTTTAATCTGGTAGGGGATATCTTCACACGTGGTTAGTTAATTTCTTCAGTAACAGCTATTCAGTAAACTTTTTCTATATATTTATATGTCAGAGATCATTTTTAATAGAATAGAAAAATGTCATGTTGAAATTTTCAAAAGAAGACTATGGAAAAGACACACAAACATCTTTGGAGCCTTGAAAATAATTAAAATATTACTTCTGTCTCTCAAACCTGCCTAAAAAGGTAACATTTTTTTTCTCACTTGAAAATAATGCTCTACTATTCCTTCCATCTCCCACAAAATATAAATCTTAATTTTCATCACGTTTCATTCCCCCCACAAGAAGATTTTTGAAATTCTTTATCTAGTCCTCAAGAGTAGACACAAGGTAACCAAGATAGGATATTTTGTGACTAGAAGTCCTTATGAGGGTAATGAGAAGAAAATTCCCACCTTTCTGTGCCGCGGTCCAGCCACGACAGGATCCAGGGGGCCCCGAAGGTGGGCAAGGCGTCGGCGCGGGAGACATTCGACTACACAGCTCAGAGGCGGTGTGACACTGTTCCGTTTTATTGTGATTTGAGTACAACTTTTATACTTTTTATTTGGCATTTTGATTATACTTTGTGGTTAAGATAGCAGGGAGTTAAATTTCTGTGGTTAGGAGAAGCAGAAAATCTTATAGAGTACATTATTATTAATATTCATGATTAACTAGTACATTCTTTTTTTAATCATTAGAACAGAACTC